CAATGGAGGTGGAGAATATGGTCCCCTCGGACTCGATATCTCCAACCTCCCCCGGGATCTGGTCAAAGCTCTGCCGGAGGCGGGAGTTGAAGATCTCTCTGACAGGGGATTCTGCTAAACGTTCCCAACAGACCCTCACAATACGTTTGGGTCTGCCGAGTCTGTCCAGCTTCCTCCCCCGCCATCGGGTCCAGCTCACCACCAGGTGGTGATCAGTTGACAGCTCCGCCCCTCTCTTCACCCGAGTGTCCAAGACATACGGCCGGAGGTCAGATGAAACAACCACAAAGTCGATCATCGACCTCCGGCCTAGGGTGTCCTGGTGCCATGTGCACTGATGGACACCCTTATGCTTGAACATGGTGTTCGTTATGGACAAACTGTGACTAGCACAGAAGTCCAATAACAAAACACCACTCGGGTTCAGATCGGGGGGGCCGTTCCTCCCAATCACGCCTGTCCAGGTGTCACTGTTGGCGTTGAAGTCCCCCAGTAGAACAACAGAGTCCCCAGTCGGGGCCTTTTCCAGCACCCCTCCCAGGGACTCCAAGAAGGCCGGGTACTCCACACTGCCATTCGGCCCATAGGCACAAACGGCAGTGATAGACCTATCCCCGACCCGAAGGCGCAGGGAAGCGACCCTCTCATTCACCGGGGTAAATTTTGTCAAGCAAAATTTCTTTCCAAACATTTGTTTGTTCTGCTTAGTACAGATCCAGTAGGAAAATAGTGATTGCTTTTGAGTTTGTCTGTATTGCAATGTAACAACATAGCCTCATGGCCAGTCAACGGTATGGACCCTGAAATTTTTATTTCTTTTTGCATTTAGTGTCTGAGCCATGCCAGAATTCAGTTCCAGGAACTACTGACAGTGGCTACATGTAACATCATTCTAAGGGTGTTTAGAAGCTCTAAATTAAAGTGTAGGGTGCTGAATCCTGTTTGTTGTTTAAAAACAAAAAACAAAAACAATTGGTGATTTCATTAATTTCCCTCACTGCACCCTCTCCTCAGGTCTGGTGGTCCTGGATGGTTTTGTGTACGCAGTGGGAGGCTGGGAGGGACGTTCTCGTCTGGATTCGGTGGAGTGCTACAACCCCCACACCAACTCCTGGCAGTTCACCAGGTCTGTCAAGATGGCTGTCACGAGTCCTGCTGTGGTGGCTTTGGATGGACTCCTTTATGTGACCGGTAGGACACATAGGTTATACACATGAAGTTGTTGTTGCGGTTGTCTTTTTTACTGAAAATGTGGATCTACTAATGCATGTCATTGTTTATGTGTGTATATGTATGTGCCTCCGTGGGTCCTGGCAGGTGGTGCAGTTCTAGAGGATGGAGATGGCACAGAACTTGCCCAGGTGTACAACCCTAAAACCTCTGTATGGACTGAGATTGCTCCGATGAATATCCCTCGCTCTGGTTCAGCTGCTTGTACACTCAAAGGGAAGCTCTATGTTATAGGTATTGCGCTCTTTAGTACTCAGCCTTGAGGCTCTTCTTGTTTCACAGTGCTCGGCAATCAACAACCAGGCATTCTGGTTCTAAAATCTCTTACTTGTCCTTCCAGGCGGATGGCATGCCTCGACAGAGAACACTGATAAGGTGGAGTGTTATGATCCCAAGGCCAACAAGTGGACTATGTGCGCCCCCATGAAAGAACGACGGTACCGACCTGGCGTTGCAGTGGTGGATGGAAAGATCTATGTTTTGGGAGGAGAAGAAGGCTGGGACAGGTGAGGGGCCTTTTATTATACCTTTTTATTCTCAGAGAAGACCATTTCTGCTTGATACTACTGTTGTCCTTACAACTCTTTGATCACCTTTTCCATGCAGATATCATGACACTATTGAGAGGTACTGTGATGAGACAGACATCTGGGAGATTGTCGGGGAGATGCCCACCAGTCGCAGCTGGCTCAGCTGTGTGTCTCTGCAGCTGAGGAAGGACATCCTCGCGAGCAGCTGTCCTGGGATAACAAATGACAACTGAAGCAGGAAGTCTGGCCCGATTGTTTATTGCACCTTCACTGGGGACTGTGCACTTCAAACCTGGGGAGAGAAGTGATGCCTGAAGTTGGCACAGCACTGGGAGAGCTGTTACTGATGGCAAGAAGTAGTCAGGTGTTTGTTTGTTTTTAATCAGCAACTGCTTGTTTAATGAGTGTCTCTCGCTTGAGTCTCTGCTTTGGCGTGGTGACAAAGGAAATGTGGTCAGTGTGCATGACCTCATGTAACTGATTGATGACTCAGGCAGCAGTCTGAACTTGCTCTCTATGATGTTTAAAGTGTTGTTTTTATGTCTGAGCACCTCAAATCTGTGAAGCTTTTCCCACCCAACATAGTGTATTTTTGTAATGATATGTGATGTATTTATTGGGTTGTGCCTAGCTGTGAGAATGAAATCTTTAAAAGAAAACATACATTTCACTGTATCAAAAGATGCTTCATGGGCCAAAGACACTATCCATGTCATCAAACTACCTGTGAAAAAGACATTTTTGTATTTTAATTTTGTACATTTTTCAATGATTGTCTTGACTACCTGTGATACTGTGATATGTTGAATATATTGTTATAATGTAGTGTAATGCATTTTAGTGACTTTAAATGGAGTTGGGTTCTAATAAAGATGTTTAATTCCTTATGCTTTTGTATGTCCAGTCTAAAAACAATGTACATGGAATGCAGAAAAGCAGTTTTACAGTACCTTTAATGTAGTTTGTGTTCAATAGTCACCTTGAGATATTTTGATCTCAATGGGACATCCTTGTAAAATAAAGGTTAAATACATTTTAAATTCATCTTTAAAAGCATAGGCTTAATGAATACGGTGTTTAAACTAAACCAGTGGGAATACAAGGAGGTAAATTTCTGACAGGAGTTAAGGTTAGGATTGGTTAAAAATACTCGGTACACCACAATGGTAAGTACATTCAAATTTCGGTCTTATTTTGTCAGTTTTGAGAAAATTTCAGTATGTTAATTTATGTCAGGTTTCACAAAGTAGCAGTTTTTCTAGTTTAAATTGCTGATTATACATATATAATGTGGTATGTTAGTGAATATAATCATGTTGAGTTTATGTCCGGCGCAATGGATTGTGGGTCAGAAGTTATGCCGCCATATTGGTATTCCTGTTCCAGCTGAAGCAGAGAGTCTTGAGTCATGAGAGGATTCCGGTTTCTGAACAACTTCCCCGTGAGTCTTGTCTGTTTGGTGTTTGGTCTGTGCTGTGTAACCGACAGGACCTCCATACTGCTTGTTGTGGCTTTGAACCTGCTTGAAAAATGAACCCATTTAGCTGCAGTTATCCAGGTGGCTAGTTGGTGACTAGCTAATACTGGTTTATCTAACTCAACGTAACGTAAAGACAGCTTGTATGATTTTACACCCAAGCAACGCATTCTCCCTGGGTGATTCGCATGCACTAAAATGTAGATAAATTGCAGGATACATGTGCAGTAATGTACTCTGCCGATTCGGCTTAGCCGCTTCTCCTAGCTTCTTGTGTTTTGATCAGCTGCTGGATGCAACCTGAAGGTCATCTCCGAAAAGTTCTCTGATCGCGGTGGGAAATGTCGAACTCAGTCCCCGCTTTAGCAACGTTAAATAACGTTACACAATAACAGCAATCCCAGGCTTTGTTGACAGGGCAATTGCAATGTCGTGCATGCACTAATTTGCACGGATCATTGCACTTCACACACCCCACGTTACATTGAGACTGTCGCTGTCTGCTGTTTCACATACCACAGATGGAAATAATTACTGTAGATAGACCTTATGGTCCATACTGAATTCGTGATCAACAAAACAATCAACTAATTCTTATTTTTAATTGTGTGCAAGTAAAACTGTCATGATTTGCTGTAAAGACATGGAAACGTAGTTTGTCTTTCTTTTGATTATCGATGGCAGCGATAATGGCAATCACTTTTATTGGCCAAGTATGTTATACACACAACGAATTTGTCTCCGGTACAGAACCAAGGCAGCCATCTGCGGCGCCAACACACCCACCAATGGCGGCGCTTTCCCTAAAAGGCACTGCTCTGGCCATCAGGAGCAACTTGGAGTTCAGTGTCTTGCCCAAGGACACTTTGACATGTGGACTGGGGAGAAAGGGAATTGAACCACCGACCTTCCGGTTAGGGGACAAAGGGGACAGCCGCCCTACCTCTGGAGCCAAATACAAAGAGGAGACTAGAGTTGTTTGTTGTTAGGCAAAATTTGAAGTCATCACATTAGGCATGTGCCTCTTTTTTTTAGATTTTTCTGAAAGCATGATTACTACTCAGTACAGATTAATGCTGAAACATAGTGCCTCTTCATGTTTGATTAATTTGATGAATTGTTGAGGCCACAGATGAAAATAGTAAAAAGTGTACTATCCCAGTTTATGAATCCAAGTTGGATGTCTTCAAATGTTCTCAAACTTTTGAGAGGGAGCCAGAGGCCATATGCTGTAAAATTATCCATCAATTAATAAACAAACATTAGGTTATTTTGTTATTTCCTATCAGGGAACCCTCACATTTTTCTTGTGACCCCCTTGGAGGAAGGGGTTGGTAACCACTGATACTGTATGTGCATCTCTCAAGTGTTTAAGCAGAGTTAGGTGAAACATTAGAGGTCATGTTAATCTTTGTGCAGTTAATTTGTTCGATGCAATGTCCGCCTGCTTTGTGGAGCCCTTGCACTTGAGCTTGAGAGTGAAAAATAAATCCTTCTCAAACCTAATATTTACACAGCTTAAAGCTGTACCACCTTGTTAGGTTAAGTCAAATATAGTTGAAGTAGTTCAGCATGCTTTTTTTTCTTGATGCCTATTACCACCAAAGATGATGTTCTCAGAGGAAAAGCTGCTAAAGAAGATGCTGTCTTTAAATTGGTGCTGCAATGTCCCACAGAAACGTTGCTATGCTGCTGCCAGGAGGAGTGAAGCTCTTACTGAACCCCCTGCAGGGTGGAAACCCTCCACAGCTACACCTCTCCCTTCTCAAAATGTCCAGGTAAGTGCAGCTCTCATCTACACATAACAGTCCATGGGCCCAGGCCCATTTTCCACTAATTGGTACCACTGAAGGTGGCAAATTCTTTAAGTCCATATCTCTAGATAATATTACAGCATGACAACCTTTTGTTAGTGGTAGCTTTGTCACAGAAATCAGCCCTCAATGACACTAACCGTTGAGCCAAAGAATGAAAATATCTTGTAACTTTATTTGAACAGAACATGTCATACAAAAAAACACAAGTATATTTTGTTCATTAACTTATTTGTTCATTGCAAACTGTTTATTCCTCATCATCATCACCATCATCTAGTTTCATGACATCAGTTTCCTCCTCCTCCTCCTCCTTCCTCTGATTGCTGCAGATTTGTAGCTTGCACATTTCTGTGCACTTTAATTTGTTGGCAAGACAGGAACAGTCGGGAAGCTTGCAGGTCCGTGAACACTTGCAGGCCATAAGCTCCAGAACAGCCATTGGTGCTGGGGGTCCCCGCATCCAGTCTAACATCAGCATACCTGTACAAATAAGTGAAAGATATTTCTCATCCATTTCAGTGAGGTGTCTAAATGTCTAGAAATTAAAAATGTATACTATTTTATTAGTTATTAGAAAATATAATTGGTTTTACTTATGATAAGCATACCTTTGTCATCAGTTGTCCATCCATGTCCTTTTGGTTCGGGTATGTCTGGCTGTCCTTCCAGACAGTGTCTCCAGACACCTGCTTGGGAATTGGCACACTGTATATGCAGACTTAAGCAGTCCCCGCAAGGGGCAAATGATTCCATGTTGCTGTACAATTCCTCTGATACATCCCAGGATGTTCCCAGAGATTTGAAAGACTCTTGGAATGTCCCGTTTCCTTTAACTAGTTTGAGAGTGGTAAGTTTTCCTCATCCTGCAAAACCACTAACGCTATCGCAACCTGTAAAGGCATGTACCCCTATAAGAGCTTCACATACTGTAGGTCATCTCCAAAGAGCTGAGCAAGGTTGCTGATGTTGATGTACCTTGTTCAATTCTGAGTGCCAGATTTCTGATAAAGGGGACAGTTTATCTTCTTACTGCATCCAAGACAAAGAATCATGACATCTGTATCCTCACTCACAATAACTGTAGTTTGACAGCCATTCTGGCTAGCATGACTTGCATGTAGGAGCATACGGGTATCTGCCTCCTCATGGGAAGATTTCAGCTCTTCAACAACATTCCAGTCTTTTTTGGTCAGACAATAGCATCTCTCTCCACAGGTTGTAAATAGCTGCTTGTCCTGAAGCTTCACTCGGTTCTCTGGTAGCTTCCACTGGTCCACGATGAACGTTATCAAGGCTGTTTTACTGTCTGAATTACTTAACAGCTTTCTCCACTGCACTACATTGTGTCCCGGGGCAATGTTCTTCCACTGAGTGCTACTTGCTGAACCACGATTGTATCTCTCAGCATTCTTGACTGATGTTTTCCAGTACACATCAAACACCACATCTATCCGCTTACTGCTTCTTCCTTCGTGCAAGCACAAAACCAGCAATCTCTCCAAAAGTCTTCCCATCACCTTTTAGTTTCTGAACAAAGCTCATTCCATCAATGATGCATGCAGAGTGCTCTCAAGTATCTTCAACCGATGATGCTGATTTCTCTAACTCTCTTGCAAGAGCAGCCTTATTGGTTTTACGCAATGAGCCATCTGGATTTGAGAGTGCCCAAGGTAGTGGACCAAGTGGATGAGGGAGGACATCTTTAATGTGAAGTTCTCTACTTTGGAAAGCAATGATCAAAGAATGAATGAATGATCATATGCCCAAAGAGATTTCTGTCAGCTTTCAATACCACATCTTTCTTATGTGCTTGTTTTACTCTAGCACTTGTCTTTATGCTTGAGAACGTCTTCAGATTCTGTTTTCGCATTTTGCCATGAAACTTGGTTGCAGGTGACTCTTTCTCTAAACGTTCACTTCTGAACGTCTGATATGCTTGCTCTCCAGTCCGGTGAGCTTGCAGCAGATCGCTGGATATGTCTGGAGACACTGCCATTCCTGTGGAAAGACTAATGATATCAGACTGATCTGGAC